ACATTGTAATGGTCTCCTGTGAGACTACTGGAAACACAATGAGGCTTGAGACACTCACAAAAACTATCACATCAGGGCTTCCATATGCTTAAAGTATGACTTGAATGGAATGTCTCTGCAGACTAGTTGGTGGAGAGTTCACTTTATTAAATATTAAAGGTTAGAAATGACATATTTCTATTTAAGCACTTTGGCAATGCACTGGTATGAGTAAATATTACATCTAGGAAACATCGATAGCTATCTATTCTACTAAGTGATTGTGGGAAATGACTAATTATGCCATGAATAAGTATTTAAAAATTGAGCCAAAGTGTGCACTAAAACAAAAATATAAGATTGTGAAGTGCTTTGGTTAAGAATTCATGCTTTGGACCCTGAGAGAGTAAGGTTAGAATTTTGATTCTTTAACCAACAGTCTGACCTTGGGGCAGCTAACGTCTCTTTTTGTAGTTCCTTTTTCTGTAGAGCAGATAATAATGCAGAGTGCCAATCTCGTAAACGGAGGCTGAGAGAATACTTGAGATTGTGTATGCCTGGGTCTGACCTAGGTTTGGTGGATGATACTTGGTCTCTAAGAGTTAAAAGGGAGTGGGGGTGTGGTTGTGATAATGGGGGAAGGAAGATGATGGGATAGTTTTTGTGAGTGTCTCAAGCCTCATTGTGTTTCCAGTCGTCTCACAGGAGACCATTATAATGTAAACTCCCAGCTGATAATAAACTTACAAACGAGTGAATCTGAATATTTCCTTTAAATTCCGGTCACTCTATATGTCGTCCATCCTCTTGCATAGAGTAGGTAATAAACAAAGACTTACTGAACAGTGAATAGACAACCTCTTGGGCACATGCTCAAGAAAGTGTAAATTTGCCATTTTATAGTGAAGTGACCTTGGGCAAGCTAACTCTCTGAACCTCAGTTTTTTAAAAAAATATTATTTACCTTCGGGCTGCTATGAGTAATTATATAAGCACAAATGTTACCAGTTATACACAAAGCACACGGATTGAGTGTACCCTTATTAAATGATAGTTGAAATTACAGTTGTTAATATTACCTGAGGATGTGACCTTGTGAGGAAGTGAACTTGATAATTTATTGAAAGCATAGCCCAGATGACACTAAGGCAATATATTTTATACACACACACACACACACACACACACACACACACACACACACACACACTCACACTCACACATATATACACAGTAAATACATATAACACTTATATGCATATATACATACAGACACATATATGCATATTTAATAATGTCCAAATAAAATGTCAAGGTCAACCTGACTCCTCCCGGGTCATGCTGTGTTACTTTGATGGATGATGGGGGAACTTTTGCCTTCTGTTGGCTTCTTTGGACCGAGCTCCTATTTTATTATAAGTAGAGATTTCATCTTTATTAGTAGAACTCTGTGGTTGTGAGGAAGAAGAAGCTGGAGAACCAATGAGTAAAATAGCCTGTGACTTATTGTCTCATTGTATGAGAAAAAGAGGTGCTTAGCCTATAGACAATGCAGAGCTATTCAAGGCAAACTAGGATGTTTGATCACTCTACTGAAGAAGAAAAAGGGGTGAGGAATGAGGAGGAAAGGGAAGGAATATGATTGTCCACCAAAAAAACATGCTCACACATTCTCTGAATTAATTCTCTGTTAATTGAGGAGCATGTCTAAAATTGAAGATACTTCTCTAATCGGACATTTTGTGGGCAAAAGCTTAAAATAAGTTTCTCTGGTGCATGCATAACATGTCTAGGCGTGTGCTTACCTGCAAAGCCAACCCACGTGTTTCTGGATTTCTATATGTTCACATGTCAGGATGCTTTAATGCTGCCATTTCACTCCCAAGGCTTTTGGGACTTTGAATTACTACTTGTAAACTGGATGTATGTCTCTACTCTGTTGGATTTACTGTTCTTATTTCCTCCTGTTTCTTTCTTCTACACTGTCATTATTTCAGAAATACACTATAACTGAAAAGTTTCCCTTCCTACAGACTCATGCACCACACTGAGAACTTGGTGTGCCTTTGAGGTCTCAGTTTCTCCTTTTAGTACCTCTTCCCCACCTCCACAGCACCTTCCCCGGGTACTCCATTACCTGTCTGCTGTAGCTTCATACACTTTGAGCACTCCTTTCCTTTGGGTATCTGTGACCAGTTAATGCCTGTTCTCTTCTCATTCCTTTAGGCTTGAGATGTCAACTAACAAATGACTTGAGCGAATAGATTATCACTTGGGCCTCTTTTAGCTGATGCTCCAGTTTGTTACCCAACCATGTTCCCTTTGATGTTGGGGCTGATGGGCCGTACATTTGGGGACTTGTAGACTTTATGTTTTCTTAAAAATCACACTGCATGGATAGCTTTTAGAAATACCTTTCCCTGAGCAGACATGTTACCCCTTACATTATTTCTCCTTTGCAACAATTACAGTAAGTTTTTCTGATTAAGAATTCATTTAGTTCTTTCAGGTAAGACAAAGAGTTAAATTAAAACTAGAGCTGCTGAGATAGGGGGAACAATTGCCGGTAGATTGTACTTTATCTTTGTCTAGCTTCCTTTAGCCTACTCCCTCTTTATTTCTGTACCCTCAAGTTTCTTTTAGGCTAAAAGATTCTGAGCCCCCAGATGTGTCTCCAATGCTGTGGGGTCTTCCCTTTTCTTCTATAATAAAGATGAGGCTCAGATTTGAAACTTGAAAGGGAAATAAATCTTCACCGTGAACACCATCTTTCAATCAACACTAACCTCTATCTCTTTTCCTGAACATCTCAACTGAGCAATCTTTTTTCTTTTAGCGTCAAGAAACTGCTGAAGGAAGAAATGTTAGATCTAGTTTTTAATTAACTTTGCCATTGATTTCTACATAACTCTGTATGAGTCACTATTCTTTAGTGAACGGAATGAAAATCTCCAAGATTAATGGTTGTTCCCAGGGATTTTTCTGGACCAGATTCCAGATACCCTACTCTTTCTTATTTTCTTTTCTGAACTCATTAGCTTACTCTGTTCTTTACCCTGAAACACAGACATACGGAAACATGAGCACATGTGTATGCACAAAATGTGCTTTCTGAATGAAAATACTGGTGAGAAAGGATTGTGACTATGAACTACATTTAGTAGTTGGCATAAAAAAGTACTTTTCTGTAATATTGCCTAGTTAAATATATTTTTTAACAAATTATTCATAGCAAGTATTATGTCTTGAATGAAAATTCAGTTATGTATACATGAAGAAGAAAGAGGTTAGTGGACCTTAAAATATCTATAAACCAGGTTGATACACAATATATTTTAGATATTAGAAGTTGATATACTTATTTTCTCACAAATTACTGTAATAGTATGTGCAAGTAGAGTAATATTTTCAAAAATGAGAGAAAATTTTAAAAAGAAAAGGAAAATACTAGAAAATGTAAAACAGAATGCCTTGGGTATAATTTTTAGCGAAGCAAATAAACTTTACATTTCCTCCTCTAATATGTTATCATTCTAGACCATCTTCAGCTAAATTAATTATATTTCTATGTGTAAATTTAAGAATTTGAATGCATTTTTATGAACTATTGTCTTCTATTGTTGTCAATAAAAATTCTGATTGATCTGAAATCTGTGTATTGATTACAATCAAGCAAAAATTAGTCCAATGTCTGTTATTGCCATTTTAAATGTCATTTCTTTCCTTTCATGTCTGAAAATATTTTTGTACTAAAACTCTGAGAAATAAAAGTTTCTTGGAGTTATAGAATAATCCTAAATAAATTAGTGGTATTTAATTATATGAAGTATGGCCAATACCCATTTCTTTCCATTGTTTCCCAACATAGTACTTTACACCTGAACTCCCCCGTTAAGCCCACACCCTCACCCCAATTCTGGAATGTTTCTTGATCCTGCTCTTCCTTTATGATTGCTTTCTGAATTGCTAGCCATCCGGATTGTGCTTTAAAATTACTTCCATCTTGATGGTCCCTTTGCCTCTGCGCTAGCGCAGGCTACAATATCCTTTCTCTGTGTTACTGAAAGAGTCTGCTACATGACCTCCCTCCCATCTTCCTTTTTGTCTTCTTTCCTTCAATTCTTTCTCTACCCCCAACCAGAGTGGCTGCTACTTGTCAGGTCCATTGCACCTCTTTGCATTTTACATTTTAGTTATACCAAACTTTTTTTCCTCTAACATTGTGGTCCTATTTTCTCTTATTTCAATGCCTTTGAATATGCTGCCTCCTCAGCTTGGAAGATCTACCTTCCAGATATTATGTTCCTTCCTCCACCTGATCATGTCTGAATCAGCCTGCAGATCTTAAGTTAGCTATTTCTTCCTCCAAGGAGGTTTTTTTTGACTCAAACCCAAGTTAAACACTTCGTGTGCCTATTCAGCTTCTGACTTCCTCCAAGGAAGTTCTAGTCTTGCACTGAATAACATATTATTTTTCTTCTTTGTTTTACAATAGACTATATGACAACAGGGACCATATCTATCTTCCTCACTGTGATATCTCCAGAATCTAGGTTGAAGTCAGAATGTGGTAGACACTTTTATATTTTGAATATATTTTTGCTTTTCAGTATTCGTTTTTGCTATGTCTCACTAATATGCTAAATACCATTTAAACTATTTAAATAAAATCTAAATTAGATTTTAGAACACAAAGACGATGGTTTCATTTTACTATAATAGGTAGGTACTTGGTATAAACTAAAAGTATTTTTTTCTCTCTTTATTTGTAAAGTTTGGGCTCCCACTGGCCTTCATTTCCCTGGTTTAGGATCAGGTACCCTTAGTGATATTATGTGTGTCCCCCAACCCCAGCAGTGTCAACTAAAAGAATTTTTAAAAAATTCAGCCTCAAATGACTGTGTCTGTCTAAACTGGTGAAAGGATTCTTCAAAGTAACAAACTGAACAGCTGACAACACTCACCAAGCACACACTGTGAATGAGAGCAAGTAATGGGAAACAAAACAAGACTGAAACTTGTACTGGAAAAAGACCCTGTTGTTTTATTATTTAGAAAGCACACACAGCAATTTATTGGGATGAAAGAGAAAATGCAAAATAAGTGAGCATACAAATTCATTTCAAAATAACTGGTGTCACTTCCCAAGTCATATCTATGTGAACTTTTAAAACTTTTGTATTTCTTATATCTGTATACATAATCAGAATTATGAATATAGATATATGGAAACACATCATACACTCATTAAAATCCTTTCTCCAAAAATCTGTAGTGAACGTATTCTTTTTCTTCCTACAGGTGTTTTCTTGGATCACGCCACAGTCTCTTTCCTCTGAGTTCGTCTCTGGTGACAAGTAAGGATACTTGTGAAGGAAGATTTCCCCTTAGTTCTTGACTTTTTCTTTATTTTTTTCTGATTCTTGAGTGAGATTCCCAGTTCTTCCATGATGGCATTGAAAGAGAGACACTAGGGAACATGAAATAACAGAATATCAGCTTAATTAAACCTATCTCCATCTGCTGTTGACCTGTCTCTTGCCTAGGTTTTTATAAACACAAGAAATTAGCCTGAAAGCAGCTCTGCTGCAATTGGTCAGTTCCCACCACCTCCTCCTCCACCCACTGGCCACCCACCTTTTCTACTTTGGAAGACTGAGTTGGCAAGTTAGCTGGGTAAACTTAGGGGTTTCATTCACAAAAGCATTCATATAAAACTACCCAGTTAGAGAAAACTCAAGGCTCTCAAAATAGACAACTTACCTTTGCTGAGACACCAAAATAGAGTTAAATTAAGTCATTTCCCCCATTGAGATGATCCAAACATTGATAGGATTATCAAGGCATACGGACACTTCAGTAATGCTATAGAAAATGAACAAACCTTCTCTACACCAAGGCTTTGTTTTTTTCTCCCATGAAACCTTACTTTGTTCCTAAAATAAAATCTAATTCTTGATGACTTTCCTTTCTGATAAAAAAAAGAAAAAAAAAACAATTTTAAATTGTATATTTTCTCCAAAAAACAGAGATTCTGGCAGCAGCAATGATGCGCTGTGATTGAAATGAAAAATAATGTGGCACTGAGCTGCACAGAAAAAATGATGGCATAATACAAAAGAAAATGAAATTATGATTATAAAATGTTATACATATGCAGACAATATATAATCTCCATTACAATGATACTTTATCTATTCACATGCACGATATATGAGTGTCCCAATAAAACATAATTCACTGTCATATTTCTAGCCAAGATAAGATCTTTGAATGATACATTCCTGCTTATAGAAATTTCTATAAAGTAGTTTTGTCTTGGATGAAGTTATTCTTAAAACATTCTCTAGTGAGATAAGCCAACAAAGAAGTACAGAGACTGCATGATTCCATTTATATGAGGTACCTAGAATAGTCAAACTCTTGAAAACAGAGAATGGAGTAGCCATAGACATGATAGTTTGACTTACAAGTTTTCAATTTTTGATAGTATGAAAGTGGTATGCATTCAATAGTAACCATACTTTAAGTACCTAAACAATCATTCTGTTTTTCACTTTCAGTACAGTATTCAATAAATAAATTATATGAGATATTAACATTTTTATTATAACATAGGATTTGTGTTAGATAATTTTGCCCAACTTTAGGTTACTACAGTGTTCCGAGCATATTTTAAGGTAGACTAGGTTAAGCTATAATGTTGGATAGGTTATGTGTGTTTGATGCATTTTTTTGAGTTAATATGTTTAACCTGTAATGGGTACATTGGAACATAACCCCAAAGTAAGTTGAGGAAAATCTGTACTTACTATATCATTTTTTGAAATATAGTCCATAGAATATTTTTGATTTATTTCTTTGTGTGGCATGATATCTCTCTCCATTCACTGAAGCCATAACTTATCATTTTAGAAGAAAATTAGCATACATGACATGAATTTTTATTTTTTAGTATTGTAAAAAAATAGAAATGAAACTCAAATCTCATAAACACTTATGCTTAAAAGAGATATAAAGTTTTAAGCAAAGAACTAGTTTTTTAAGAGGTGTATGACTAACAGGCCAATATAAATTTATGGGTCTAGTTTTCAAATCAAGTAGAAAAAATGTAAAAGTACTAATCAAAACTACGTCAAGTCCTTTTTGGAACAAAAAGGAGTATACATTTTCAAATATATATGTTGCACATTGATACATAGGACTGCACTGGACATTTAGTGCTTTGCAAACATCAGACCTAAATTTCTTCCTGCAAGGAAATTACAATCTAGGCAAGTCATCTAGTGCCATGCTATCATTTGATTTTTCAACCATATTCATATTATGTGTTAATGGTAAAGTAGTATGCTTGCACTTCTATAACCTTTACCAAAGGCTTTGGTTTTTTTAAAGGATTTTAAAAAACATGTTAAGAGCACTCAAGATCTACCCCCTCAAAAATTTTAAGTGCTCAATAAGATATTTTTATATTTAGGCATAATGTTGTAAGGCAGATTGCTAGAACTTATCTTGTGTAATCAAAACTTTATTCCCCTTGAAAAGCAACTGCCCCCATTTTCTTTCCATTTTGGGAAGATGGTGGTCATAGATCTTATCTTGACAGTAAGTGTCAATTACGTTTTTTTTTTTTTTTAAATCCTTCCCCAAATTTTAAACTGCCTTAAGGTACCACAAACATCTTTGTTCTTGACTAACCCCAAGTATTTATTTCTTGCTGCTTGTGTGGGAGTGAATATAGAGTTGTATTAGTGGTCTAGATTCTCAGTTTTTGGTCACAAACAATGATTTTTTTTAAAAAAATTCTCACTTTGTCAAAAAGAAAATGGCAAGATATTGGGGCTGACCTTTCTGCTTCTAAGTTTGTGTTGTAGTCACAAGGAAAGATGACCTTTAAGGCCCCTAAAAATCATGAGCTCAAGTAAACCACACTCTTGTATCCACAGGAAATGGAATTGTGAAGGTCATTGCTCAGCACAGAGTGACATGGGAGGGGGTCACATTTATTAATTCAATTGCCTTGCATAATCTCAGGATTAAAAATACATATAACACGAAAACTGTGCTTCTGAATTGTGTTCAAAATGATAGTAGCTTTCTCAAGGCTCTATTTCTTCTATTTCTAGGTTTGGGTTTTTCATATTCATAAAGCCATAGAAATATCATTTTAAGGCCTGATGGTTTAAATTCCTAAATCTTAACCGCATCAGAAAGTACCAAACATGACATTCAGTCACCTGCCTTACTCCAGAGGCAGTGAAACTAGAGATGGGATACCCAGTAGTATTTTCGGTACTTTGTAGACTGAAAATTCTCCTGGTAGATTGAATCCTGGGTTTTCCGGTCTATCTCTGGTGTGTGGAGTTCACATTTTTAATGAAACTACATTTATCTTTTAATTGCAGCTTGGAAATTCTGTCTGGCATCAGAATTCTGGAGTTTAAATAATAGCTGGGTTACACTGGGCAAGTCCTTATTTTTCCTTTGACTTAGTATTCTTATCTATAAAATGAGACAATAGTATAATCCTTTTCACCGTGTTATTATGAGAATTCAATGAGCTGATATATGTAAAACATTTAGTTCAATGCCTGGCACATGGCAAATAAGCTCTTTCAAATAAAATTGCATACACTTCAATGAAAATATTCTAACTCTAATGCGCTGACTTTGACTTTCTTTTTTGGTGAAGAAGATACGAGAAGGTTGATGTTTCTTTAATTTGAGCTATTGTATGTCTTTCTATGCAGCAGTTCTTTTGAGTTTATACTACTGTTTTGGATAAAATCGTTCCTATACATGTTTAAAATATACATTTTTAATGCCTGTTATTACTTGTCTTGCCCAGACTATAACATATTTCCATATTTATATAGTAACAGGCATTATGATAACTTGTGTCATGTTCTATGAAAAACAGGTACTTAAACATCAAAAAGAATTGAAAGCTAACTGCAGTTCTTTGCCACTTAAAAAAAAGTCTCTCTCTTATGAATTCATCTACAATGAATTTTTATAATGATAAGTCTGATAGGAAAATTCACTTACAAATGAATTTATAGTAATATAGTATGTTATTATCATTTATACTGTTCTGTCATTATCCAACAATAAAATAGTGTGTGTGTGTGTGTGTGTGTGTGTGTGTGTGTGTGTGTGTGTGTGATCTCTTTTTTAGAGGAAAGGAAACTGAGAAATAGAAGTTAATCTAGAAGACACTGGAACTGAAACTTCAATTAGAATTGTAGCTTTCTTAATTTTAGAAGAAGAAGGATTTGCTTGCTTATTTTGGTTCTGCAGAGAGTTTGTAATTCTGCTACTCCACTTTCATAGTGCCTGTGGTGTGTCCCTCATAAGTCCCCTTTCCATCCTGTCTCCTGTCTTCTTTTGCTTCCTTTCCCTTTGCTATTTCTTTTTTTTTTAAATTGCTGACTGCATAACACCTCCTTTGAATTAACCCCAAATATTTTATTCTTGGTGCTAGTGTGAGCCTGAATATAAATGATATCTCCTTCTTACACCTTTATTCTTTGTTGCAAATGTTGCCCTGGAAGGTGTGTTAAGAGAAATAAAGTTCTCTTTGTTTTGTATGTCAAATACATGGCTTCAGGAAAAATGATCCAGGGGAAGAGAATGACTTTTTTTAAGTTATAGGAAAAGCTCTGTGCTAGAATTTGACTTGAGTTTGCTATGTTTAAAAACACTAGGCTGTCTGGAATTGGTGTTTATACTGGTTGCAAATTTGGCATCAGATTGTAAATGTCATATTGATTTTTTTATTGTAGACTTAGCATTTATACATTTAGTTCTTTCATTCATTGGTAGATTTAGGTGAATATTTAAGAGAACTGCTTTGGATGCTTATACCTTTAAGAGTTTTCCTAGCCGGGCTCGGTGGCTCAGCCTGTAATCCCGCGCCTTTGGGAGGCTGAGGTGAGTGGATTGCCTGAGCCTGCGGGTTTGAGACCCACCTGGGAAACTTGGCAAGACCTCATCTCTACAATAAATAAAAAAAACTAGCCAGGTGTGGTAGCGCGTGCCTGTAGTTCCAGCTACTTAGAAGACTGAGGCGGAAGGATCGCTGGAGCCCAGCAGGTTGAGGCTGCAGTGACCAGGAGCGGCCACTGCACTCCAGTCCGGGTGACAGAGTGAGACTCCAACTCAAAAAAAAAAAAAAAAAAAAGAGTTTTCCTGATTTTTTTAAGACGCTCTGGCCTAGCCAATAATATAATACAACTCTTACATTTTGTATAGATTTCTCCCTTTAATATGTTAGGCTCTGTACTCAAAGACGTTTGAAGCACTCTGTGACATTGTTCAATAAATTTTTAAAATTTATTGCAAAAGAAAGGATATAGGTAATATTTTCATCATTTCATAGATGTAGAATCTTTTTTTTGTATAGACCTGCTATAACTTGAAAATGAGCTATGATTTGAAGTCTTGTTGTAAAGACAATTTTCAGGAAATAGAGAATATTAAAGGGATAGGTTCCTGAGAAATAATGGGATTATTACTATTATTTTTTTGGCTTGGTCAAATTCCTGATATAGTTCTGTGAAGTCAGTGTCTCAATGGATTTTTGTTTTTCAAAAAAAAGGACCAAGCATTTACATCCTTAACATTTTCTTAAATCTCTGAGGTCTAGTAAAGGTACTAACCTAAGATATCTTGAGATTAGAGTTCAGAACCTTCCTAAGGAATAGGGACAGAAGAATCCTATTCAGACACTTGCTACCTAGAGGCTTGGACAATCTGGTCAGCTATTTGTACACGGGTTTCACATCTTCCCAGAAGAATTAATGATCTAAGAACAAAGTTCAGGTTTCATTCATCCCCCACTAATTACATGAAGGTAGGAGGAGGGTTATTCTGAGAGTAGTTATGTAGCTGTCATCTCTGTGGAAGTTCTTTCATTTCAACTGAAAGTGGGCACCGTTTGCTCTGGTTTGATCCATTTTCTGGGCTCAC